AACACGTAGTGAAGATAATCTATACGCTTGTCAAGTCTTGAGTTGTTGTTCAACATTGTGGCTCCCGTACTACGAGTGCGGCCGATAAATATATTCGTCACGTGTCTTATCTAAGGACACATCATCGCAGCCAAAAGGTGCACCGAAATTTTCTTATCAGACTCACGTGACGAATATATCTATCGGCCGCACTTGTGCTGTCTCTCTAAAGTCAGTTCAAGTGACCCCCCACTCGACATGACCGCCCATTAGGCGAACTGGGCTAACCGTATTAGCGTCCGATATCACTTGTCAGCGGACAGGTTAACTACAACCAATGGATCAAGTGAGGAACTATGGTGTTGGCCGTCTATCGTTCCCCAAGTCCATTGGAACGGGGATGCACGCTTGGAACGCAACGGCAGGTTAATTTAGTGCTATCATACCGTGAAAGCTAGGTAATAACCCTACAACGACATAACAGCACTCATTTAGACTGCCGTTGCATTCCAAGCCTGCGTCCCCATTGCAATAGACTTGTGGAACGATAGACGGCCAGCATCATATGGGTTGTCTGCCTCGCATTTGCTCCGCCAGGCTAACCTCTTTTCATGGGACAGCGTGGTCTCTGTCTTCCTTAGATGCGACCACTCGAAACTGACCAACAAGGTCCAGAACGTCGTCGATCTTACAAGTGCAACAAAGTTAGTAACGTACTTTGGGTGTGCGCAAAAGTCTGTCGAACTTTGCTCTCATAGGCCGCGTAGATCTTACAAGTGCAACAAAGTTAGTAACGTACTTAGGGTGTGCGCAAAAGTCTGTCGAACTTTGCTCTCATAGGCCGAGTTTGTATGTGTATGGAGGCCTCCAAGAACACATAATTGGTGGATTCCTTCACAATTTGAAGGAAAAAAGTCTCTCAAACTCTTGGCACAGGGGCTGGAGCAAGGCTGGAGCAAATGCCGCCCTTTAGTGGTCGGCACGGCCCTAGAGCCAATGAGCGGGACTTACCCACAGCCCCCGGTAGAGGCGCGGCCCGCACAGTATGGGACACCTAACTTTTGAGAACCCTACAGGCGTGGCTATACCGGTGCCAACCAATGTCTTTTCCCCTTTTATAATACCAGCTCCATAAAAGTACAAACGAAGAGGAGAGAAAATACTGAACATCTCCGTTACCAGAATTTCCCAATCACTTCGCCTATTCTCGAGGTGCACTCATCGAAAAACGCAATAAGCCATTCTGTCGTCAAAGTTGCCCATTTTAGATGGCGGGCACCATCCAACCTTCCCCCCCCAAAGAAAACGCCACGTCCCGGGAAAAAGTAACTTAAAGATACCCCACCAGCCACCGCCTTCGACCCCCCCAAATCCAAATCCACCCCGCCCCGCCCTTCCCAAACTAACAAATACTCCAATCATGCCACCCAGATCGCACATCCCATTCGCCAATTACCGACTGCAAATTGAAACACCCCCGCAAGGGAAAGTACAGGTACAGTAAGGAGCTCAGATGCGGCAATAAAAATCGGAAACCGAAGACGGCAAAGCAGGGATCAAACGGAACCACGAGCCACCAGACACCCCCCAAAAAGTATGCTGCACCCGGCGACAGATATCATGGCGATGCCGAGCAGAAGATCAACACATTATAGTAAACTCAAGGGCAAAAAGATCAACTGCGGGTAACAGGGTAACAGAACGAGGGGATGCGGTTTGTCCGAGTATCGCAAGATTTCGGCATCTGCCCCATAGGATCATTGTTCCCATTCTTCCCCCCCCCGCTTCTTTTCCTCTTCCCCCAGGCACCACGGGTCCCCAATTCCATTCGTGTTTTTCCTATATCCTGACGTCTTCTACCTACTAACACTTGACGACAGGAGTAATCAATCCTTCTGATCTTCATGCCCACATCCGAGCATGACACAAGTAGGGCCGAAAAAGCCAACTTGGAGTGCTTATTCCAGCACCAATACTCGAACCAAAAATGGGACAACCCCATAGAGTGCTCAGAAATGATGTGAACTACCTGACCTCAATTGCAACCTCTAATGAATGAATTTAAATTATCCGCAGAGTATGATAGTACTCCAGGAAAACAAAACTTTCCTCAAAATCACGCCAAGAGAGCTCTTTTTGGTGGGAAAACTGTGCCCATGGCGGAATTTGAAAGTTCAACTGCATACCCACCCCCTTGTGGTACAAAGAATTAGGTGATATCTGCATGTAGAAAATGGTGTCATCACTGCTTTTAGTGGTTCTATGGATAGTTTGTACTTTCCGCGAACTTTCTCCAGCGGAATATCCTGGTGTGAAATCTGGGCATTTTTGCTCCAAAATTGGGGCTGCCCGCTGACTTTCTTCGATCGCGCTTAGATGACAGGACTAGTGTGGCAGATTTCAAAAAGGAAACCGAACCCCCACCGCCTCAATGAGACCAAATTGTGGCTACCATTCACCCAAGCCACACAGATCAGCCCCTCCTTTATGCCACACAGTCAGCGCCCCTCCCTTCCCAACCATTCAGAACTTCTCTCCATCCACGTTCATCACACCCAATCACTCGCTACAAGTACGATGCCAGTTGTAGCAATATACGATTACTTTGGATAGAGAATAGAGAATAGTTAAGATTGTTTTGGAATTAGAGAAAGAACTAATTATATCCGAACCACAAGGAGAATACGGCTCGGCTATATAGTGAAGTTCTCCCACTCTGCTATCACCACCTAGATTCCTCAACACTCGCAGTAAAGAATTAAGAGAAACAAAGATCCTCAAAGAAACCATTCAGAAACAACAAAAGGAACAGCATACGCTAGTCCTAGATAGGACCAGACTTGAAAAAAGATAAAGATCTGAAAGAAGAATTTGAGGGGAGAAAGAAACCTTATAAGAAACACCAGGTGTTGAATATATGAGAACGGTTACGTATGATACAGGCGTTGAGAATATTCACAGATATACGCGACTGTTTACGTAACCTCCTATACCTGGCACACAGGCCTGCGTCCCACGTTTTGCTTTCTTTTTCTTTCGTTTCTTTCCCCCCCCTCCGAACAATTCTCACGAATATAAATCCGTAGACAGTACTTCCTTGACCTGCCATCAATTCACATCTCCCCTTTTTCTCAGTTCTCTCTTTCTTGTTTCTTGACCCTTAGTCGATAGGCTCAATTCTACTCTCTCTCTCTCTTGTCTTTTCTCACCGTCCTCCCCCCGGTTCCGTAAAAACCCCCGTAGCAATCATTGACATTAGCCTTCCATCAACCACGATTTCCAACACCTAGGGAAAAAAGAAGAAAAAAAAGGGTCATGCAAATGCAAAAACCCGGAAACTCTCTCTATCATTGGCTGGGTGAGTATGGAACAAGTTCGCCCCACTTGCTCGCCCTTAACCCTGGGCACATACCACACGTTCATGCTCAAACTCACTGGGGACAGTACCGTACCATCCCAGATCTGGTGAAACCAACCACTGGTAAGTGATGCGACCCGCTCTTTACTTTATTTCGTACGGTATATAGCGTATGATAAACTATCATACCTATAATAACGGGTGCCCAAAAGGGGCATGGCAACGGACAGACAGAAAAAAAACCCCCGGAAACTGGAGTTAGGGTACAGTACAGTGCAATGAAATTGTGATTCTGAACTATGATATCAGCATTTGGAGAGAGCGATAGAGCAATCCCAGAAAACAAGCATATAGTAGTAGAATTGAAAAGGGGACATGGATAATATCTCTCGACTGGAATACGACATGATACCAGTCCGAACGAATCCTCTCCAAATGTGACAACTTTATCATAACAAAGTATAGTTGATAGCCGTTCCCAATTACCTAGAAGTCCATCGACTTCTTCTGCCTCTGTAAATTATGAACGAGCCTATATAATTCAAGCCTGCCTTTTTCCTGTATTTTATCAGGTCGGTTTGAGTTAGAAATGCATAGGTATAGAGGATGTGCTCTTGACAAAACCTCTTTTCAAGGTACTAGACCTGGAGTTATCATACATGATATTATGATATGCCCGCATCCCATGTAGTTTGCGCGTGGGCATTTGCTTGTGGTATGATATGATGCCGCAAAGGCTGGGAGAAACAACAAAAGTATGTTAAGACCTTGGCTGGAATCGCCCCCCCCCCTATGAAGCCAATTATTTCACATACTTGTCTATATATCATACCCCAGCGGCGGTGCTACCATAACAAGCCAGCACTCCCCAGGGTGATCCCCCACACGCTCTACCCAAAAATGGGAATTCCGGACGTCTAGCGCAGCGTCCAGTTATAATACTGCATTCCAGTGCTTGATGGTACTGTATGCCAGTGGCCTGATACCCCACGGTGCGATGCCAAACAAACACGCTCAGAAGAGAACAAACATAGCATAACTAAACAACCCCCCCCCCTTTTTTTTTCCCCTCCCTTTTTCCTTCCAATTCCGTTACAAAGAACCCTCCCGCTGCTACGATTATTGGTCCGGTATGATAAGGGAATAGGGTTATCGAATAATATCCGCGGGCCACCACCCATTCATCCGCAATCAAATTCTCGCCGCCCGATTACCATGGCCGGGGAAATCTTCGGTGTACACCATCGGCACCTGTAAGGGGGTGTCGGTCGGTCGGCCGTACGAGGGTTAGGAGTGGAATGGTGGCTATCGCATCGTACGGGGCGGGGGCATTTGATGTTGATATTGGTCTACATTAGTGGCACATACGGGATAGTACCGTACAGTACGCCACAAACCCGCACGGCACGTATAGAAACACAAAGCCTTCCGTTAATCGACAAGTGCCTAGAGAGTTTAGTCCTCTTTTTTTCTTCTTGACCAATGTACGGGTACCGAACTGGATACCAGGCACGGGGTCTATCAATTATACCTGCCCAAAGTTGACAGAGAGGAGGAAATTGACCCTCAGGGCCATGTTTCCCGGGTGTGCAGCACCATTATTTCATGCCTGTCCCCTATACGGTACGCACTACATAAGGGTGCGGCAGGGCAGGGCAGGATTCCGAAGGTGTAACACCGTCTACTATGATACTGGACTATTATACAATACAATACACCAGCGAACATAAACACTCGTGCAGCAACAACCAAGCCAAAACAAAGTCAGCAAACGCGAATATCCTACACCGGACACACCATAGCTCCTGTCCACGTTGGCTGGAACCGAAGAAATAAATGAAGTATCGAAGAGGGTAGCCGGAGCAGGAGGGAGTGAAACACCGCGTATGCGGGAAAGGAAGGAATGAGAAAAGGTAAACCGAACACAGGGGAGACAAGCTAGAAACCCAAAAGTACAATCAAGACGGTGTAGAGGGAGGTATATAGGTATAATACAGTACAAATCCGGTAACAAAATTTAATAAATGAATGGGATAGATGAACCAGGTGAGTTTATACCATCGTTGCCCCCCCAAGGGCGCACTGTATGTGCCGTGCCCATCTACCCAAATTCGGACACTACCATATATGCAAAAAATGAAAAATCCCCCAGGTGAGCGAAAACAACGAATGCCGAATGGAATTGAGCAAAAAACCCCAAGCAATATAAATAAGTAAGAGGACCCGAAAGAAAGAAAGGTAGCGGAATATGATAAACGCTTCACGTAGAAAAAATAGTAATGATATGCCCGAAGGATGAGTGATGAACGATGAATGATTACAAGGTAGATCAAAAGAAGCCCGTTTTTGTTAGAAATGTGGTTGATAGAAGGGAACAGGACAGAGATGAGATCAAGAGTTAAAAAGGGAAAAAAAGATCCCAAGGCCCGTAAGAAATAACGAGAGGAAGCAAAAAACATAAAACCCCTGGCAAGAGAACGAGAAATAGCTTTCTGGACTGGAAGGGAAATCATTCGTTCAGGAGAAGAGGAAAGAAAAAGAAGCAATAATAAAACCCTTTTGGTAAAAAATAGATGAGAGGTTAGAAAAGGCTTTTCTTCAATCAATTAGAAGCGAAAAATGTCAAGAGCAAACACAGAACAAAAAGAACATGAGCACGTGAAAATCCGGGAAACCCAATTCCATGACCACAAGGAAAAAGTAGAAGAAAATCGTTAAAATGATGACAGAAGGAAAACCAGTAACTGTTAATCCGACAAAAACTAACTTCTTCAAAGGGTAAAAGAACATGAAAATGACCCAAATATCCACCGCAACACATTCCCCATCCGCCATCGTGAAAAGCTTTCAAACACATCAATCATGTCCAACAAAAAGGAAATTAAAACTCTCCTGTCCCCCATACATTTACTTAAGATCAAGCAAAGTGTATAGCTATAACACTCCCACAAAAACCGCTGAAACTGTTGACAAGTGGGCACCCGTGACTCGCAGTATTCAACATGACACGGCCGAAAGAACTACTGTTGGTATGCTCCAAACCCATTGCTCCCGAATCCACCGGCAGAGTTTCCACCCCATCCACCAGGAGTTCCGGTGCCATTGCCACGACCGTATCCACCCGCGCTCTGAGGCATCTGGCCATAACCAGTCTGGTTCTGCGGTCCTCCAAAGCCCTGAGACTGATCCTGCCATCTTCCAGGCGGCGATGGCCCGGCTGGAGATTGGGGACCATGCCCTTGGAGAGCATTAGGCCCTCCAGCAGAATTAGGCGGCCCCTGAGGTGTCATCGGACCGCCGTACTGCGGGAAGTAGGCAGATGGTGTCTGAGGCGGATATTGGGGAGTGTTGGGCTGTTGGGGAGAGTAAGCATCGAACTGCCCGGTTGGCGGACGATCTTTGCCCCACTATAAAATACTGTGAGCATGACACCAAGACAAAAGACTCCAAGAGCAAAATATACATACGCTACACTTCAACGGTCTCCCATTCACGTTGTAACCCGAAAGTTGACAAATCGCCATAGCCGCATTCTCATGAGTGTCCATCTTGACAAACGCAAACCCCCGATCAGCCTGGAAACGGGTCTCAACAACGTAACCGAAATTCTGAAACAAAGGAACCAAGTCGTTCTGAGTGGTATACGGGGTTAAATTTCCAACGTAGCATGTTGTCTGCCATTGTGGGGTCTGTTGGACAATCATGTCATAGCTCTGGACGCCATGAGTAGGGAAGTTGTGATGTCCATAGGGGGTAGTCGGTGTCATCCCCATAGCGGCCATAGCAGCCTGCTGGGAAATTGACGGTTGGCCCTTCTGATTCGCCCAGTTACAGCGAATTGCCCGAGACCCAAGCCATTCCCCATCCATGCTACTAAGAGCCTTCTCAGCATCCGCACGATCGCGAAACGCGACAAACCCATAACCCCTGGAACGACCAGTCTTCATATCCCACATGACACGAGCCTCCGAAACCGACCCGAAAGCAGAAAATGCCTGCATCAAAACCTCATCGTTCACCTCATTGGACAAGTCACCAACGAAAATATGAAAGTGATTAGTGGTGTCCTCCTTGCTAGATTGATTAGACTGATAAGCCCAATTAACCCTAATTTCCTGATAGTCGGGGGGAACGGTCAGATCTCCAATGTTAAGGTGCAATAGGCACTGGTCTCTTACAGCCTGATGAATTCTTCTTCCATTCAGGGTTTGCATGGCACGTTCGGCCGCGCCAGGGTCATCATATTCAATGAAACCATAATTATACCCCTTGCTCTGGTTCACCAGGATCAGAAAGTGCACTTTGTAAAAGAAAAGAAAAAAGGGGGGGCGGGGTGGTGGGGGAAAAATCAAATGACACAACGTTTGGGAGGGGAAGCGAGGCAATGGGGAGGGGTGAAGGGTATGCGAACATTTTTATCAGGGATGATCTTGACGTTCTGGACGTGACCAGTGGTCTCGAAGATTTGCTTGAGGATCTCCTCCGTAACCCTAGGATCCAAGCCACCAACATAAAGAGCCCGCTTATTCGGCTCAGGGGCCGCACGACGAACAAAACCTCCCGCAGAAGTGGGAGAGGTCACACCGGAAACCGACATAGGCGAAGTGATAGCCGTCGGAATAGGGTTAGTGTTCTGGGGGATGATAACGGGAGGAAGTGGCGGAGGCGGCATGTGGCTCGATTGTCCCTGGTTCTGGCCAGGGGCAGAAGCCGAGGGAGCCGGTGGGGGGATCGAGGACGATCCAGCGGGCGGGGCGTTCTGATTATCAGCGGACATGTTGGAGAAATGAATCTTGACTGATTTCAAGTGGCAACGGGATCCCACAAATCTTCTTCCTTTCTTTTGCTCTTCTCAAACGCGTTGAACGGGAAATGAGGAAATCAAAAAGTTTATTTTGACCTTTGGATTTTGAGTTTTGATTTTTTTTCTTTTGGGCGACAAAGTAAACCGAGGAAAGCCAGAAAGGAACCCCCGAAAAACCACGACGAAGAAAGAGAAAACGGCGAAGAGGTGTACGACTGAAGCTGAGAGATACACGCGTGCGAAGCGAGCTCGCGAGCAGTAGATGGAGAGACGAGTAAGATAGAGAGATTGATGATAGGAGAGGAATTTGGAGACAATTGAAGAACAGGTCGCCTGAACCGAGGAAGGGAACACGAGAGAGACTTAACACACAGACAAACCAGGACCACCTCTTTAAAAGACAAAGAGATGAAAGGAAGGAAGGTGATAGTGAGAATGATAGAGATGAAGGAACCGAAAGATTGAGGACCAGAGAGAGGAAAACAAACGACGAGTTTAATCCAGTCCAAGCGGGCCGAGAGGAAAAAAATGGAAGGAAACCGAGAGTAGGGGGGTGGTGTTGTAAGGAAAAAAGTGACGATGGGAAGGAAGACGGAGGGGGAGGAGAGAGAGAGGTGAGGTAAAAAGGTGAGAGAGGGGAAGGAAACAGAGGGAAGGGAGGAAAAAAAAAACAGTGATGGGGCGGCGTGGACGGGGGCGGTTGAATGGTGGGAGCAAGGGAAGAAAAAGAAAACAGCGAGGGTGTTGCAAGCGAGTGAGAGACTGGCAACTTTAGTGTGGGTGTGTGAATTTGTAGTCGTGGAGAGGGAGAGAGGAAAAGGGAAAGGAAAAGAGCCAAATCGGGCAGTAAAAGAGGGGACGAGGGTAGTAGGAAAGCTTCTGATTGGCGGAAACAGGAGAGAGGAAAAAAAAAAAAGAGACAGAGAGGGAGAGAAAAAGAAAAAAGAAAAACCAGTTGGTGGGTGTGGTGGGTGTGGGGGAAATAAAGAGGAGGGAAAAACGGTGTGGATGGAGGCACTCCAGTCTAACCCGCAACTCGAAAATTCAACGGAAGAAGCAACTCGATTGTGAGGAAAGAACACCTTTACTGTAGCCTAAGTTAGACTGCCTGGCTTCTTGCAATACGGGCCGGCGCGATATTTCTGCTCTCAGGATACCCATACTCGCATACCAACGTTACCCAAGATGTAAGTCACTTTTCCCCAGTTCAACATCGTATACGGGTAACCGGGGACGAGGACGAACCGAAACAGTATCATACAAAAAAATGCAAATAATCAGTTACACCTTTGGTTCAAAAAGACATCGATCAATTCCGGAATGTATCCGTTTTGCAAGAATTGGCCCGCAACTGCAGTAGAGCACCAATCGCAACAACTAAGCCCGGTCTGATATATCCCGTTGGAAGAAGAAATTAAATGAAGAAAAAGGACATTCATCATCGACGGTAGCGGTATGATACCCGTATCCTACGAATAAACTCACCAGATTCAACGGGGAAAAAAAAAACCATAAGTTCCTCCTCTTGTCTCAAATTCCAATACCGGTATGCCGGTAGTCTACCACATTCCCCTCTGCCGTCCGGGAAAGAAAGGACACACACATAGCACTGTACAGTACCGTATCATACTCGTAGAGAGAGACTAACGAGTATGATACGGCACCATACCATAGTACTTCTTCTTCCTATACCCGCACAGGCAACCCCATGCTATACCAGTATTATTCCCAAGAGCAATCCCATCCAAGAAGGAGGGGTAGTTCAAGTTTCGAATTATTCCCGCGACGGGCGCTTATAATACCGGTATAGCAGTTCAATTGGCGTCTTTCATTCCTATCCCTCCCCTCTCCCCTTGTCCGATATCTTCCCCCCTCGAGTGAAAAAAATGTCGTGTGCGCATGAACAAGCACGGTACTGTACAGTACGTCACGGGACCTGCAGAGCATGCGATGTCGACGGGCGATGCGAGGTGGTCGATGCTTGCCTGCCTGATTGCTTACTCAAGTACTGTACTGGTACCGTACATCGAGCAGGTTGCTAAAGGGGGGGGAGGGGACGTTGCCGTGTTTCTCTCTCTCTTTTTTTTTCCCCCCTGCCTTGATGATGATGACGAGCGGGGTGGATGTTTAGATGCGGTGTGGGGAAATAGATCACCAAAAGTCCTGGAGATAGGCTAATTTGTCAAACGCGGGGGAATTGAGTCGCTCGCTTGAGCTTTGACGAAATGTTTCTATCTGAACAGTGAAATTATGACGAAATATAAAAAAAGGGCACCGGAATGCATACCAATCATCCAAATTACTTGCTCTAGGCAGACATGTCCCGAAATCTGGGAAGAGATGGAACAACCAACAAATAAAGCACCGTAACTCGTGCTCGAGCACAATACCGAATTGCAGCCTACCGGGCAAGGTGGTCAGCGCCGGCGAGCGCCAGGACTACAGAAGAAGAAAAGAAAAAAGTTGGTGCTCAACCTGGTCAAAGAACATGCGTTGGGAGAGATCTTATCTTTGCAATGTTTCAGCCCTGTGAAGGACACTGTACGAGTATCTCTACCGCCAGCCGCATAAAAGGGGTCACAATATCATTGGAAGGTTCTGAAACACTCCACTTGAGCATGTTGGGTATGAATGGGGCAGGTGTGTCATCCACAAGCAATATCGGTACGGTGCTCGAGTACTGGAACCGCCACTCTTTTCCCAGCAGCACCCTGCGGTACAGGTACTCGAGTACTGTACGAGTACTCGTGCAATCCCCTTCACAGGCCCCGTTACTCTTGTGGCCACGGCACAATGGTGTAACATTACCAGGTCCCGTGGAGCCACAAAAACCGTCAAGCCTGAAACCCCAACAAGGAAAGAAACAGCAAAACCAAAGCCTGTTGAGAGCCACCGTGATACAAGTGCCGACCACTGTAGAGTACGAGTACCGTACCACAGTAGTACTCGAGTACAGTAAGCCCACAAGCCGTCCAAACATCTGAAATACGCCAGAGAGCCGATTGATAGTGGCGGCGAGTACGAAAGGGCACCGAGCACCACCCCATATCGAACAGAACACCGATGTGGCTTCATTGAAGTCGCATTTTTTTGTCCTATTTTTGGTAGTGACGCGCGGATACCGGTTAGAGTACCGGTACTAGAGCACAGTCCATCACAACCAATTTTGTAGACGACTTTCGTGGCGCAGGAAACAGTACCGGTAGTAGGTGATTCTAGACCCCTTCGCGCTCGTACAGTACCATAGAAGTCACCAAGGAGGAGCACTTTCCCCTCGGCACTTTACGGTATCATACATACCGGCACGATACAATGCCGGAATACTTCCGCACCCGTACCGTACTCCCCCATGCTGATCCCAGCTGGTTGCCAGCGTGCCAAGAATTGGTATCCAAGCAGCCACAGCATATGGCAAAAGTCACAGTGACCGGGCACATTCGCTTGTACACGGAGATTTGTCGTAACCAGGCTCCTAGATATCATGCACTGGACCCAGGCGGCGATGAGCATGAACCGTTCCAGAATCGATCGGGGTGGTGACGATATACGCATGTACGATAAAGAGCACACCCTGCAACAGTTTGCAGAGCCCCTTCCTTCCTTCCTTCGCTCCTCCCCTGTCCTTGACAAGTACTAGTACAACTAGCCAAGGACAGGAAGCTCCATGAGGAATTTCCCGGGAAATTGGTGATGACGGCGACATTTGCAAAGGTTTCTCATAGACCATGTGAGGGCTCGGCGAGGCGTCACGAGGCGCGGCAAAGCTTGGCATTTTAGGATACGGTACTCGAGTAGATATGATACAAAAGTGAATACCGGTACCGGTATTGTCAAATCTCAAGTAGAACTGAGCCACCTGATTATTTTTACCTAAATTATGCCGCAGGAAATAGTAAAATCCCAGGTCGGGTGCCGTACAGGAACGGTATGGCAGCAATTGTTACAGTACCGTGCGAGTACAGTTCCTGGCATAAAGTTAACCCTGCAAGCAAAAATGTAGAGTTCCATTGACACCAAGCTATGCCAAGCTTTGCCGCGCCTCGCTGGGCCCTCACATGGTCTAATTTTTTTTTGCTTTCCATCCTCTGTATCGTATCATACCGGCATAGTATTATGCATAATGACCACCAGCCACCCGTAGCGCCGGACAATCGAAACCCGCCCTCTGCCCGAAGTTCTTGGAAAATATAGACATATCATACCATGCTGAATTATCATTATTATTGTTGTTATTATTAACGTCTGGGAGAAAGCTTTGAAAATAATCCCTCTGGCACGATATCATATCTTTTCCGGAAAGAATCCCTCTTATGATAAGAGTATCAAATAACTGGATGCCCTTACCGTAGCTGGAAAAAGAAATCATACCGGTACACCATACCAACTCCAATCCGCTATATGAAAAACTCCACCAGAGGAGATTCGCAACATACCTGCCCTCCCAAGGAGAAGAGGGGAGGAACCCTTCTCGATTCAGAAACCTTTTGCCAGTGGATTCGAGGTTTTGGCCGTGTGGAGGAGTTGTATGATATGCAAGCACCTCTGGAAAACAATGATGGACTAACTACTATGGTAATTCTCGGCTTGACTCCTTCCTGCCCTATCAACCGTTCGTTCGTTCTTCTTCAACACTAAATATGATAATTATGACATGCTATGTTCAAGATGCAAAAAGACCTTTGGCACCCTTTAATATATGTATCATACCATGCGGGGCTGAGAGAGAATTAGAAGGATTGAAAGAAAAGAAAAAAAAGCACCACCGGTTTATCACCTACGATAACCTTTAATACCACACACTTCGAGGGGGAATCCACATTTACCCCTCGGTTGAACCCTTGACAAAGCGACCATTAACTTTACCATGATAAATGTGATATCATACCAGTGCAACTGATGATCACGTGATATCACAGCCCTTACCCTGAGTCGACTTCCTTCCCAGTTACCGCTATGATACCATACGAGTACGAGTAGTCAAACTTACCGAGGATCCAGTATCGTGTCATCCTCGGACGCAACCGCACACAACCTACACCTACCTACCTATCATACCTTTTCCTCCTTCTATCATATCATATCATCACAAAACTATATCACCGTCGTTATCAATCCTACACCTGCACCGCCGAGCGATCACAAGCTTTTACTGCTACTACTACGGAACAAAAAATAAAGATGTATCGACAACAACAACAACAACCCCGTACAGAAACTCGGCTTCAGACTCCACTCCAGATACTCCCGGCGATGCTCCATGCAGTGGTAACCTCCCCTCCTCCCCCTCAACATACAAACACTCTCCAGAAAAACCCTGACTAACAGGAGAGGGGTGGGGAAAAAAAAATAACAGTTCATTCAAACCGCCGACGTCTTCAATACCCCCGCGAGACAACAGCCTGGTGCTGTAATGTACACGAACGCCCAAGTACGCGCCAGTATACCAATCTGCAATGAACGCTTCCAATACGCTCTCGACCAACTAGAGATGGAAATCGTAACCTTCCACCACCACCCTACCACCCTACTCTGCCCCCCGCTAACTTTTTTTTCCCCCCCCTAGCTAACGGCCAAAGCCGCCCTTCGCCGCGACCTGACGGCCCTCCGCACGGCAGCGCAAGCGCGCGAGGAAGCGCGCCTGGCGGCGGAACGCGCGAGATTGGAGGAGCAGCGGAGGAGGGAGGCGGAGATTGCGGCGCGGAAGGAGGCGGAGGAGCGCGCGAGGAGGGAGAAGGAGCGGAAGGAGGAGGAGGAGAGGAAGCGACGTCAGGAGGCCGAGGAGAGGGAGCGGGAGAGGGCCAGGAGGGCCGAGGAGGAGGCGTTGGCCGCGAAGAGGATCGCCGCTAGTCAGAATGCTGGGACGGTGGCGCTGGGAGGTGCGGCGGGGTACAATCCCCACTATGGCCAGGTTGATGATGACAAGGAGAAGGAAAACCCTGCACCCCTACCTCCCGGTTCGGCCAACGCTTCTTCCCCCTCTCCCGGTGGCGCTGCTGCTGCTGGCGCTACAGCTTCTGGTGGTAGTGGTGGGGATAGCTTCCATGACTTTATGGCCTCGGTGGCCGCTGGCGGGTATATCGACGGTGGCCAACCGATGCATTTCATGGACGACTTTCTTGGGGAGTTTGGCGACTCCATGTTTACTGGAACTTAGAGAGGGAAAGCCTTTCAAAAAATATGTTTTGCGATTATGATACTTGATTCAAAAAAGAAAAAATATATGGTTCGTATGTGCTTGGACGGATGTTATGGGGGCGTTTTTTTTTCCTTGTTTTTCTTTTTTTTTTAGTGTAAAGTATCATATCATAGCTCAGGTTACTATCATAATCATCATGCGCTTTCATGGAGGGAAGCATTCCCCGAGTGAGACTTCGTGTCACTCCTACAGTACCGTCATCCCCCCCCCCAATGACGTAAAAGGGGTCAAAATATGATGGGGTGAAGGAATGCCACTGCCCTACAATAGACTAAGCGGGTGCAATTTTGATATAAAAATACAACAGAGCGAATCGATAGCAACGTCCGCCAACACACGCTCCACATTCACTGGACAATCTCGCACGAGTAAACCATGGAATCTCCCAATTTCGTTTCACCAGAGAAAGTGGGGGAACAGGGTGTGTGCCGGAATAAATCATAAAAA